TACATATGTAACATTTTTTTTCGGGATAATGTTATATTTATCTCATTATTATACTCATTATTATATTCAGTCCAAATTGTATTATATAATTTAAAAAGGTGTTTGTATTTATCTTTATTTAAATATATAACTTATTATTAATCTTTATTTAATTGTAAATCGTTAGAGCAATAAAGATTAAGATATAATGTTGAAATGTCAAAAACACTTAAGTGAACAATTAGGTACAAAAAAAATTTTTTATCTTTTGCTCTCAATACATTAAGTAATTGATAGAAAATATTTGAAACTATAAAATAAATACCAAATAAATTCTCCAGTGTACGACAATATAATTACGGTATTACAATAAATATTGATTACTCGCGCCTAAAACTAAACTGCTGAGTTTTGAGGAAATCGATGTAAGAAATTATTTCATTTTAATTCCGCGAAGAAATTAATTGGAGTTTATTTCAGATAATATAAAATCAAATTATTGATTTATATTGATATGCGGGGCTCGATCGTATTTATAGTATATTTTTAATAAAAAAGATAAAAGAGTTACTTTTGAAGCAATCTAACTACTTGATTTATCAACTAGCGTTCGTAGATATCATCCGTCGTGGATTAATGCGACATCAGGAGCGGCTCGTAGAACACACCCATCTACCTCCGAGGTCGCCGAGCGAATGCCGGAATGCTGACTGCGGCTGGTGACGTAGTCAACCACCGCGCTGCAGCTGCGCGCCAGATGTCACGCTTTCGGCTCCCCCTCGCTTTTACCGTGTGACGAAAAGCCTTGGGGAACGTGATTTCCCTTCGCTGCGCGATCGTTTGATATTTCTATTGCATATGAAAAATATTCACGGTTTATTTAATATAATTAATCGTATTTTACATGATTTTGACAACCGGGTATCGTTGTACATTTCACGCTTTGCTTTGTGGCATTATTAATTTAATCCTTTAATCGTAATTGGTAATTATTTACGTGTCTGAGATATTTTTGATGTTTCAATGCTACATTATATCTCAATTTTCATTATACTTTTAAATAATTCATACTTAAACAAAGGTTGATAATATTCTATACATCCTTTATATAAAGATACATACAATTTTTCTTAATATTGCGAAACAATTTGCGCTCATTACAGCTTTGGTTAAAAGTATTAAATATCTTATTAATCAGACGAGTAATTTAATTTTTCAACTAAAAAATTAATTATGACACTACTATTGTTGCAATAATTATTAATTATCCTCTCTTTCAAAAATTCTTTAAATTCTTACGTATAATACCGATCATTGTGCGATAAAATAACTGTTACGTCTTACTTAAAATAAAAAATATAATATAAGTTTTAGAAGCTTATTTAAAAGAAAATCGTAGGAATCGATAAAAAACTACTTATTTAAAATAAAAAATATTAAACAGATTGGGAGAAACTAAAACACTAAATAAGATGTAGTTATTTAAATTAGTAAATACTTAATAATTCTTTTGTATTTTTTATTTAAAATATATAACTTTTATTTGACCTTTAGTACACATTTTAGTTTTGGATACCCTTATTGTAATGTTGGTTCATTCGTGTTCTGGATTAATTTTTAATTTCACTTTTACAATTAAGGGTATAAAAATTATTAAACGAGTTTTACATACATTTTGACATCTTAAGAAAGTATTTGTGAAGTTGTATATTTATAACAAATTGTATATGCTTCTTATGAAAATAAATCAGATGCTCCTGATGTGAAAGTAAATCACTGAAATTGCTGAAATTAATTGAGATTTCTACAGTTTATTTCCATCAGGAAAGAAATGGATATTTCTGTATACTTCTACTTCTTCAGAGGGCAATAATACGCGGGAGCATTTTCGCGATTACAGGAAAAAGATCTTTATATCCTCTCTCAAATTTCTCTCTGCTGGCACGTTCAGGAAATCGATTATATGTATCTTTCTTCTTATATATGTATATGCATATATATATAAAATTTTTCACTTTGCACGTTTTCGCTCTAAATCAAAAATTACATAATCGATAAGGCGATTAATCCAAGCGATTAGCTGGGCGATTAAAATTTAATAAACGTAAAAATTTAGTAGTGTTTAATCATAAATATTACGACAGCAAGTCCATGCATCATGCATTCAAAGTGAAAGCATAATGTATTTTTATTATTTTCCATTTAAATAGGAATATTTCCATTTAAATAGGTGAAAAATGTCGGACCAATCACAAACCGGGAAGAAAATAACCAGATTCTGATTGGAAGATCTCTATGGTATGTTAAGGTTTAAACATAATAGGAACAAGTAATTGGCACAGGCAACAGTGAATAACGGAGCCATCCAATTAGAGTGTATCTGTAATGTGTAAGTTCGATATTATATCTCAAAATTCTGATTGGATAGCTTGTTATTCTCTGTTCTCTGTGCCTATTGCCTGTGCCTATTGTGTTTAAGCCTTTACAAAAATAATCAACCACGATTGGTTAATTTCTTACTGTTTACGGCTTGCGACCCTATTTATTGCAGAACAAGCTTAAGGGAGCATTTATATTGGCCATAATCGTGTGAAAATTATAAGTGATCAAATTTATTAAAATATTCATAATTTAATTGATCAACATCTAATGAATTTGCTTTTGTAATTTTATGCTGCGAAAGCGAGTACAGAATCAGATTTTGCAAATTATTCTTAAAAAATTTTAATAAATGAAAATATGTGCACCTTAGTGAATGTATATCAATTGCCCACATTGATTAATCGCTAATTGATTAATTTAAAGTAATATAAGCTCATTGGTGAAGCAATGAAAAATTACTAGGAACAGGCTGATGTGAGTGGGTGTGTGCAATTAAATTGTGTGCATGTCGCCGCTTCAACGTTCCCCACTTCAATTGCACTTTAGTATGTATGCATGTGTTTACATACATATTGGATGATATATCCAAATAAATTTTTATTTTGCCTTTTTTCTCAAAAAATCTGTACGAGCCTTCAGAAGTCTTTCCTGATTACAAATATCTCAATTAAAACGCGATTTATCTGATATTTTAGCTGCAATTTCAACAGAAGAAATTCATCTTTAAGTCTACCACTAGATGTCTTTTCTGTCTATCCTTAAAGATGCAGCCACAATAGAAGGAATAAGGAAAATTGAGATTTCAACCTATCAGAAATAGGAATACACGGTTATGTGATAGATTGAAATCTTTATTTATTCTTTACTGCTAATTCATTCCTTCTATTGTGACTGCACCTTAATAATTGAATTAGATTGGTCAGCCAGTTATATTCAGCTTCGAGAAGAAAATTCCTATACAGACGCCATGCAATAAATGGAACATTTATTCATATCAAAAGCCGCATACCTGCCCTGCAGTGTGCTTACATTGTCCGATTGCGCGCCGTAAACGTCGGTAACGATGCGAGGAACGTTTTACAGACACTGGTATGTGTTATTCCCCGATACAAGTGTCTATCAGCTCCGAATGCACGAAAAGTGTTTTACGTGGACCTACGAGTGATTCGGTATCATCTTCCTAGGCCAAAAATTCTACGCAGGTACGCGCCTTTTTGACGGCGACGCTACGCGGGCAGTTGACTACTGTGGACCGCTCGAAACACGATCCACAAATAGACGGATAATGGTCCGGTATTTGATGCTTGGCTAGTCCCTGGATGTCCCTTCAAGATCGACGATGCGGTGCCTGCCGTTCGGATCTTCTCTCGCGTACGCATCGACGGGTCGCCGTAACCTCCAAAGTTTGTTTAAGGCTTGAACTGATACTCCATTCTGACATAAAACAACAATTCGGACTGTCGTCATGCAGATGGCTCGTCCTGCTTTGAGCGCGTTGTGTCGAGAGCAGCTTGCAAGTCAACTCCCGTGTAAACTCGCCTCACCTTTCACTATAGTATCCTTGTGGATAATTCTTTGGCTATCATCATCCTGATCTTCTCTGATCTTTCTCTATGTAATACGGCTTGTATGTTATTAATTCATCTGTTTTGTTTTAATAGTGCAGCCATGAACACTACAATAAGTACTGTCAGTAGCGGTAGTGACAAACATCTACCGGAAACGACTGTTCAGACTGTGGCACAAAACTTAACTACAATGCAACAGAATGTACAGAATGTACAGAATGTACAGAGCATGGTACAGAGCAATATATCGAACATTCAACCGACTCAGACTATTGTTGGTTCCATGACACCCAGCGGTCTAGTAGGCAAATCAGTATCTCTGGACATGAATCCAAAATTATCTTTAATGAAACCTGTGGTACCTTCTGGTACTACCTCATCTACAGAAACGAGTAAAATAACAACAACGGTAATTCTAGCATTGTGCTAAAACTAATGTTATAGTATTAATGTTATGTTGCTTTACAGGAGTGTATTGTACACACATATGTACAGAATCATTATATTTTATCTTATAATGAAATATTTTACTATGTTCTCCTGTAAAATAAAATATAATTAAATTTTTTGTTTTATGAAGTAAATAAAGATTTATTTCAATACTTGGTATTAAATATATCAAAAAGTATTTTATATAATGTAGAATATTTTAATAATGGAAAATTAACTTGTCAAGTGCTTTAATGCATATATACAATTTGTGATAGATTTATTAATATCAAATTCAACGCTTCTAGTTATGTTCTATAGGATCTACAGTAAAAATAATATCACCAGGAATGTTAAGTACTGTGGAAAGGCAAATTCCACCTCAAACACAATTACCACATCCAGTATCTATACCAGCTACGTATCATGTACCGCGTGGACCTGCTGCAGTTGCTAATATCTCTGCACCTAGATCGACAGTTGCCACTCCTATCGTCAGGACAAATATAGGACAAATTGTGCCTGCTACTAGACCAGGGTATAAACATATCTAAAATAAAACAGTTTTTGAAATAATAGTCAAAAAAGATAAAACATAATATAATGTAATTAAAAAGGGAGAAATTAAAATAGTTATTTAGAAATATATATGCAGAATTGTTTTAATAGAACAAACTAGTTATATCACATCACATGTCGATTTTTTCAGTAATAATACATCAATCTCTAATCCCCAATGGCAACCTAAAACAACATCTGTTGCATTATATGCGCAACCACAAAGACATCCCACTCCTTCCGTCAGCAGAGTCTCCAGGCCATCATCCACTGTGTATACGGGACAACAGCCGCGATTAATTACACCAGCCAGTCAAGCAAGATCTGTTCAAGCTACCATGGTTGCTGGTAGTTCGTCCAGGTTAATAGCACCTGTCTTGCAAACTAATCTTACTAGACATCCAGTTGCACAAAACAGACCGCCAACGCCGCAAGTAGTAACTGTGTCACAGACTTCGCAACCCATCAGATCGTCGACACAAACCATTCAAGTAAATTATGTGATATAATAAATTAATATATGTATACATATATAACATATAATATATGTGTAATGTTGTACAACTTTTTGTTTACTCTTTTACGCACTTTCAAAAACTTACAGTTGTCAAACACAGTTTTGAGTCATGGTACACGAATATCGACACAATGCGTTCGACCCGGAGGTGAAGGCATACGTGACGGTTGAGTGTACTACTTTTCTGAATTGCACATAAATGCCAAGAAGGGATATATATTACAATTTATGAATTTATAAATTTTATTGAAATGTTTAGCCTACTCAGTCTAGCAGACCTCTAACTACGACTGGTACGACGAAACGTATAGCTGCATCACCCATTATAGAGACAGTCAACAGAATAAGCAGTACAGCTTCAGTTACTGTCGGTTCAGTGGAACCAACAGTAGGACGATTGTCAATTAGTGGTAATACGGTGGCTGGACCATCGACCGTTAGTCATATCGTTATCCCTTCGCAACAGGTACTCTAATTGTATTGTATACTAATTTACAATATATTGAAAATTCTTTCAAGGGGATAAATGTAACAATTGTTTAACAGGTTCAACCACAGCAAGGTGCACCGCGTGTTGTTCAAACCGTCACATCTCTGTCGAGCCTCAGTACTGTATCACAAGTAATTACAACAACCGCAAATACACAGTCAAATGCAATGCGCATATTGCAAACAGTTCCAACCACAGTTGCGAAAATCGCAGGAATGTCCTTACACCCTTTGCCTATCGCTCTACCGGTCAGGGCTGCGTCGGCGCCAATCAAGGCTGCTCCTACACAGTCTCAAAATATTGGACAAACCGTCCAAGTGAAACCGGCACCACAGGCTAATTTACGCATGTCGTCCACCAACAGCAGTACAGTCACAAGTTCCACTCAGCCAGTCCAAGGGCAATATATACATTCACCACATACTACTACGTATCTTTCCTTTGAAACTACAGGTAAAAATCAATTAAAAAAGGCTAATAAGTGAATTATCTTTTACATTCTTGTATCCTGTGATAAATATAATTGCATTATCTTAATAAATAAAATTATAATGATAATATGATAATAAAAATTTGTTGTATAATGATAATAAAAATTTGTTTTTCAGGAACGTATTCACAGTTTCGACAAGCTTCAGTGCAGCCAGTAAGATTAGTTGTTGAGCCAGGATATGAAGAACCCCATGGTAAACCTAATGCATCTCCCCGACCGAGCATTCTGAGAAAGAGAGATCATGACAATTCACCAGTTAAAGGTATGATTATATTAGTAAATGTAAATAATGAAGCAATAACGACATATACATTATATAAAAAGTATCATTTATTCTATAACAACATATTATTATACAAATACATATAAATACATATATAATAAATAAGGAATAGGAAAATTCAATTAAAACTGATGACATATAGTGATGGTTTTTTTTTTTCAAGTATATATTTTATTAATAGATATTTTGTAATAATAGAAATTGGAAGATTTATTTTTGCGTGTTGAAACATGCTTGAAAATATTGACTTTAATGTATTAAGAAAATATTTATATGTGATAGCTATTTACATATGAAAAAAAATTCTCGTTCCAGTTACCCAGTTTGTTAAGACAGTTCAAAATGAAAAGAATATTAAAATAAAAGTAAATTAGATATTACAGATAAAATTTTTGTATATATTCTTTTAATATGCTACATTTATAATTAAGTATAGTGGTTTTTATTTTCTCTATCTTCTATTATATATTAAATTTATAAAATAAGACCTGAAATTTCCTGCTAATAAATTACTTATACTTATTTAATGGATATCCATTATAGAATTTCAATTTCACAGGGGAGTCACAATTTCTTGCAGGTGCAGCTAAAAATTTAGTTCCTGTATTAGCATCTTTGCCATCAAGTAGATCAATGTCCAGTCCGCCGTGCTCACCAAAGGGTGATCAGGATGGTGGTGGATGCCAAAGTTCTGGATCCACGACTGTATCTGCTACATCTTCGCCAGGTCTCGACGAGGAACTTGAGCAATCCAGAATTACTATTAATCCCACTATAGAAATGTCGCCGAGAAAAAAACCACGCAAACAGCAACTTACAGGCGTAGAATTAATTGAACCTAAATTTACGGAGGAAGAGATGCAATTTCTCACTGAGGAAAAATTGAAGAAGGAGAACAAAGAAGAATCAAAAGAGAAGTTGTCCGACAAAAGGCAACTCTCCAATGTACAAAGTGATATTAAATCATCTACTCAACAAACAGAAATCACAATAGCACGATCACGGCCTGTACCAAGTCTATTAGGTATGTATATATATATATATATATATAAAATATAAACATTTTGTTCCGTTATATCCATTACATCGTTCGTATTTTCTTAATTATGCTCTTCCTAATTATATGTTTTCAGGCTCTTCTTGGAAAAACAAATGGACAGTTAGATTACAGCATTATAGAAGACCTAGCGATGTCCGACCTCGTGAGGAAAGAAGACCAACAGTTGCTGAACTGGCGCAACAGAAATACGTATTACAGAGATTAAATGGATGGAAAATCTATCATCTCACTACACAAATGGAAGATATCGCATCCCTTGAAAAACAGGTATATTGACTCGTCACATTGTTTAGACTTTTTCTTCAATTTGTTTACATTTAGACAGCGAGTCATGTTTGTATGATACATTCGTAGGTTCATGAAAAATTAAAAACGACACTCACGCTACTGGAATCACAGCAAACCGTTAAAAGTAAACATAATGATGGTCTCGAACGCGTAAACGAACTGATTAAAGGGAATATGCAGCGCAGTAATTTAATCAGTGAGGGCATGAACGAAGCACGTACACAACTAGTTGCTATATTTCAACATAAAGGCCCTATTACTGATCTTTTGCAACGCTGTGGTAACAAACGAGCACAGAAAAAGAGGGACAAATGAGCAATTGTGCTGAATAAATACGTAGAATCTTTATAAACGAACTTTGTTGAAGGAAAGTTCAAAAGGGAACTATTTTTATCTGTGTCACAGATTCTATATATAGGAATAAATAAATGGTTTTATAAGTCTAAAAAAGACATGACTATGTCACTATATATAATAATATGTTTATAATTTTATTATATAAATCTATAACGTTTTTATTTTAATATAATACTTCTTACTCCTCTAGCCAAATGTCTTTCTATTTATTTACTTTCTGCCTCTAATTAATGCACATATCTCTGTTTACATATAACATGACTTCTTAGAAAAAAAATTAAAATATTCATTAGAACAAAATACAATTCAAAACATTGAATCATGTTCAGGACAATATTTATTTTGCAACTGTTGGAAGTTCTCTTCGCTGAGATAGAACTATTCCTCTAAATTCAAATGTATAATGCAAAGAAAAAAACATTTTGCGGAAATATTTTGCTTTTAAAACATTCTATTGAATCCATGATGGAAGTATATTCCACCATGATTGAATCTAATCTGTGATCATTCTGTTCGTTTCTAAGGTTACCATGGAGATAATAGACCTTTTAAAACAAGCTTGGTAATAGAAATCCTTATAATTATTAAGTACATATATAACGATTCTATGAAAATGTATATTTCGTAAAGTTCAGTTCAGCAAATCTTGAAACAACATGTGGTGGGGATATAGTCAACCGCTAGATTTACAAGCTGAAATAACACAAATAGAAGACTGTATTTTGAACAATCTTGAAGTATTGATTGTAGGTTCTGGTGATGCACGGCATATCGTGAAAACGCTAGCTTCATCTTACACACATCCTGCTCGAACTATAACGTATCATATTATCGAACCGACTTTGGAGCAAGTTGCTAGATCGATACTTTTATTAAGCCTTTGCTTAGAAAAAGATTTAGGTATGTATTCGTGAATACTAATATCAAGCCTATATCAGAGAAATCAATGGAACTAATGTACATAATTAATATATCAAAGGACTTCAAGAGGCGACGCGATATTATTTGGAGATTTTAGGGAACACTCTTTTGAGACCGGCTACGGCTAAATATTTAGCAAAATGTGCCAAACAACTGATCGATATTCCAACCTGCACTGTTGAGTGTCCATGGTTATCGTTAGAAAAATTTAAGCACAAGGATAGGGATAATTTGGAATCTATTTTTAAGTAAGTTGATGTTAAGTTTAAAAAGATACAGTAATAACATAAAATAGTTTCTAATATTGGTGGATTTTGGTATCTGAGACGCTCGAGCAAAACTTAATTTGAAAGATTCTACAATGCAAAGCATCTAGAGACAGACTTGAAAAATTCGCCGGTTTTAAGTAAAAGTACTTAATGCTTCCGCAGACATTTGTATATTTCTATATTAATTGTTGTAATAATTTCTTATAAGATTTTGGGCACGTGCAACATGCGAAGGAGTTCCCATTGTGAATTATTGGGATCGTAGAATCAGGAAGTTACTAAAAACGAGATATGACTATAGAGAAGGTGTTTTTGATTGGGATTATCATATGATTTTAAAGCCCAGATGTATTACTAATCTTACTATACAAGAATATAGGTATGAATATGTTTATACATTGTAAGCAGTTAAAACTGCACATGAGATTGTGAGCAAGATGATATGCTTCTTTAGTTGAAATGATTATCTGATATATTATATATCAATGAAACAAAAACAAAAATATGTTATTATAATTATTAGATTTTGGAGAAATAATGGAATAGCTTTTACATGGCTTGAAGGTGAACCAGTTAGAAGTAATCCAACTCTGTTAAATAATATACTTCAACTTGGACCTGGTTTTATACATTATGCATATTTGGGAGACATAGTGAATGGTCCGTTTTTTACATGGGCTGCTGTTGGAAAAAATGATGACAAGTAATAAAATATATTCAAAAGAAAAATTTACATGCTTGCTTCCCATAAATAAAAATTCTTAAATCTTAAAGACGTAGGGCAACTGACATTGCTGAACGTGAGATAATGCGTGCAATTTATGAAATAAGAACGAAAGAGCCACTATGTGAAGATCACGTCGGTGCTCATAGGGATGTCTCAATTTTAAATGGCATTATAGTGAGCGAAATGCCGGATATTGAAATGGAAAACGAATCATGGATAAGCACTGAAGATAAATCTAAACAAGATAAAAAAATTTCTTGGATGGAAGTACCAAATCACAAGGTACGTTTTTAACCAGGTATTTAATAGCCAATGTGAATGAATTTGACAACACTTATTTTTAGATAATATTTCATCCTATAACGTCGCTGGAGTCTCTCAAGTCTAAATGCGAATATATAAATAGATTCCATCTGATTTGGGTAGCGCATAATATGACAAAACAATTACCAAATTTGATACCATTGATATCTGCTGATGCACCGATGATTGTGGAATTGCGCAAATATATGGCAGATCTTCGCAAAGAAGATTTGCACGACTTTACTAAAGAATTGAAAGAGATCGCGCGGACGAATGGACTCCGTTCACTCTACGATTTCGATTCCAATGCACATACTTTTGCTCGTTTTTGCAAGAATTAAGTCCTTGAATAGTTAAATATATCTTAATAAATTAATATTAATTGTAAATATATGTTTCACACATATTATTATAAGCTAAAATAAAAATTTAATTGACAAAATACAAATATTATACAGAATATAAAATGTCAGTATACAATTATGTCGAAAAATATTAATGATTTCCAATCTATATTAAAGACAATCTCTTTAAATAATAATTCCTTTTTAAAAATGAATGTTATTTTATAGCTTGTTTTTGCCAAATAATACAGTAAAAAAGAGCCAATAGAAATAATTAACGGATGTAAAATGTAGATAAAAAATAAAAGTAAATTTTATTACAAAATATAAAAGGTTTTTTGACAACAATCTTTTCCAGTAAAATAACAAATATAAGTTTCTTCAAATTAATATAATTAATTTAATTCTCATTAATTTAACATAACCATTCGTAGTTTTTAACTATTGATTATTATGGATATTTTAAAAATTATTTTAAATGTATTTATTATTTTGTTGAAAAAGATTGTCAGTCAAAATCCTTTGATATTTTATAACAAAATTTATTTTTACTTTTTAGAACCTCTCTATTACAGGAGGTGTGCGAATAATTTAAAATCGAATCTTATGCTAAATTCGATCACTCACATTACATCAATATATATTAAAAACTGCTTTATATAAAATATTTCAATGCAGTGATACAATATAATTAACTTAGACAAATGAAATGATACATGTACATTTTGTTAAGTGACATGACAATATCATTATCAGTAGATAGTTTAAAATATTTATATACTTTTACATTTAACTTTGCTAATTTCATAAAGCAGTTTTTAATATGCACGAATCTAGTGTAGTGTAAGTACAGTGCAAGTGATCAAATTCGCCAATAATGGATTCAATTCAATTCGTTTCCGCGATTCAAAATAATAAATAAAAATAATAAATAAAATTTAAAATTTCGAATGGTTGATGGTTCGATTTCAAATCAATTTTATTTGCTTATTTTATTTGCTTCATTTATTTACGATTCACACGACTTTCGTAAGTTGAAAATGATTTATTTTCTCGTTTACTTAAAAAAATATATAACGTTATTGAAAATATTTTAAAATTAGCTTTAATGTAAATTCAGGAAAATTTGATTCAAATTCAATTTGTTTTTGAATAAAAAAGATTCGATTAATTTTTGAATATATTATCAAAGATTTGATTCAATCTCATATAAATGCTTAATTCGCACACCTCTAGTGTATTATTTGATTGTATAAAATAACTGCAATATTGTACTTTATATTCTTGCATTGGCTAGTTCCTTAGCTATTTCGGATACACTCTTATCTTTTTCTTCTGCCTCTTCTTCAGATTCTGTATCACTTGGTGGAAAGTCAGAAAGTGCTAAAGAACAAATGTATATATACATATATGCAACACACACACACACACACACACACACACACACACACACACACATACACACACATATAGGATAAGCACAGAATAATTAGATATTCTTACCAAGTCTATCAATTTTTTCCTGCTGGATATCTTTTAAAAACTTTTCTTGTATAGCTATTACTTCTTCAGTATTTGTGCAACGAGCGTATTTTTCCAACAATTCACTGTTTAGTTCTAGGAACAAGTGTCCCCAACTAAATTTGTCAAGAATCAGGTCAGCTTCGTTTGGAAATCCTGTTATGATTAAAGTAGCTGCAATAGCCTCCGCACAACTCAATTCGCAGGGTTTTGTCGAATTGGCAGAAACCAAGAAAGGCAATATGCGAGGATGAGATGTCCTTACTTTGTCAAAGGGAGTGTCGTCGATACGCGACCAACTACAATCAACAACTGCGCAACCATACTTCTCTACAATCTTGTGATCCAACGGAGTCACGCACTGCGACAAACAATTTATCTAAGAATCTAGACGATGAGATTATTATCTATTGTTTCTTTATTTTACCTTATTGCCCACTGGAGTAAGACAAAGGCCTGGAAATCGTGTACTCAGTCGCAGCAACTTTGTTAAACCATGTCTCACTAGCTTTTTGCCAGTACCATGTTTGGACTGTTTGGAGCACTCTAAATCCCACATAGCTACAGGAAATGGCAACGGCCACTCGTTTACCGTCTCTGCAAAGAGTACATTGTACTCCCAATGTACAATATGTACATTGCAAAACACGAAACTCATCCTAATCTAACCTGTCTCATCGTTTTCCTTATCCGAGCTCTCAGACCAGTCAGACATTCTGTCCCTCTTTTGGTGATATCTCAGCTCCTTGCAGAGAACATTACGGGGCCTCCATTGCAGCAGTTTATTCTTGTCTTTCTTTCTACGTCCCGACATTTTCTCTACACAGGTACTCTATATTATTCCGGTACTCTATACCCTTCCTTCAATATACGTTTTTTTCAAATATGTTTATCACTATTTACGTCTTTATCACTGTTACATAGCTTAACTTAACCTAACCTAACATCTGCTGTCATATCATACACATATATAATAGGAATGTCAAACATATGCAAACACTACTTGACTGTTTAATTTCTTTGTATAATTGATTCCGCGCGTAGTTGTTAGACGAATTGTTATGAATTGTTATGAATTGTATTTAGAGTTCTACAATTACATATTAACCATTGCAATTATACATACGTAAACGTATCTATTGGTAAATGTTTCTTTAACTATCTTACCTTAAATTTTGATAAAAATATACCTATTCATTCGATACCATTTTATGCAGAAATAAAGATGAGTTTTTATTGATTTGATGTGAAACATGTCGTCACAAAATTGTTGAGCATCGCAAAATTGTTTTAAGGAGAATCGGACAGAATAATGTCTACTTATACAATGGAAGATGTAATACAAACGACAGAGTATGATTCGGCTAGAGATGATGATTCTCTATACGTCGCTTCGAAATATTGGAAACGCCTTGTGGACACTGCTATCAAAGTACGTAAGCGATATTTATATTGCAATTACTTACCGTGCCGCATTTACTATTCATATTTTTAGACTGGCTACAGAGAAGGGATACAAGATGGAGCAGACTCTGTGTTGCAAGAGGGATTCGACATTGGTTACAAAGACGGTTTCGAGACCGCTTTCACTTTGGGAAAGTACAAGGGTCTGGCTGCAGCTTCGACGTTCACATTAGAACATCCCACAGATGTGGCAGCTGTTCTCAAAAGAGCCAGACGCGGTGCGTGCTGGATATGCGAGATGGAATCGCGAAATGAAAGTTTCAATTCGCATGAAAAAGCTCCATTCTCTAAAGTTCTGAGCGAGCAAAGAGAACACTCTGCAGAAGTAATAAACAGGCTACATGAATATCTCGAACCAATCTTGAAGAAATCGGGCATTGAAATCAATTCAACTCTTTAGATATATTTAAGTAGCAATTTATAGATTTACCGAACAAATAATTGGTTAGATTATATATATTAAAAATAATGTTTTTCATATATATTGCTACAAAAAATTAATCTTCTGTAGAAATTTTTATTGAGACACTCGGACAATTTCGCGACTCAATACAGAGATAAATGATAATGAACTTTTTTTTTTATAAATATAATCCCTCGGGAGAACCTTCCTTCTTCCGATATAACACACTTTCCTTGGATTTTTTAAAATCGTCGCTAGTAACCTTCATACGTCGTTCACGTAGAGCCATTAAACCAGCCTCGGTACATATTGCCTGAAATAAAAATTTTTAATCCATTTTAATGAAGCAATAAAAAAAGAGGATTTACAATTTTACTTCATCTTCGTTTGACATTGATTTATTTTTAGAGTTATAAATATTATTTTCTCTTATTTTAATAAAAAAGAACTGCAAGAAAGTACAAAATATAAGCAGAGTTGAATTTTTACAGAAGATTATCTTACCTTGATGTCTGCACCAGAAAGATCATCTTTTGCCATAATTAATTCTGCAAGATTCACGTCAGGCGCCAAAGTCATTCTGCTTGTGTGAATATTGAAGATTCTTCTTTTAGTCTTCTCATCTGGCAGCGGAAATTCTATTTTCCTATCGATTCGACCCGGTCTAATTAAAGCAGGATCTAAGGTTTCTATTCTGTTAGTAGCCATAACCACTTTCACGTCGCCTCTACTATCAAAACCTAGTAATAATTTTTTCAAATTTAACATCTGATATGTTTATTGTAATAACTAATATATTTATTAATATCTAACATAAAGTTTATTAGTATAAAAAGATTTTTGTCTGAATTTTGAATTGGAGGAAATTAGCATACCATCCAATTGATTAAGCAATTCCAACATAGTTCTCTGAATCTCCCTTTCCCCTCCACTATTGCTGTCGTATCTTTTCGTTCCTACCGCATCTATTTCATCTATAAAGACAATAGAAGGAGCATGCTCCTCGGCAACTCTGAAAAGCTCTCTTACAAGTTTTGGACCATCCCCTAAATATTTCTGTATAAGTTCAGAACCGACAACCCTCAAAAATGTAGCTGATGTTTGATTAGCCACAGCCTTAGCGAGCAGTGTCTTCCCTGTGCCAGGTGGTCCATAAAGTATCACACCTTTCGGAGGTTTAATACCCATTTCTTCATAATATTCTGGATGAGTTAATGGTAATTCTACGGATTCTTTAATCTCTTGAATTTGAGTATCAAGACCTGAAAGTATTCACGAGTCATATTCTTTAATTTTTACATAACAATTCCTTGATAATTTTACACAATGTATGCACTTATCCAAAAGCAATATTTCTTCAATTTATAAGTAAAATTCTACTTCGTTAAATTACTTCAATTTACATATTTTAAAGTCAAATTTTATGCGTAAGTCTTGAATTAAGTTTCAATCAAAATTTAACTTGATTTGATTTTTTGAAATTTTATAATATGTTTCCAGTTTCCTTGTTTATAAATCTTAGATTTATAAAGATTATAAATCTTAACATAATTTTATAACAAGATATAATTAATTATAAATTTATTAGAATTTATATAGATAAATATAAAATATTATAAAATATTTGAATATAAAGCAGATGTATGTATGTATATATATATATATATATATTGTGTGTGTGTGTGTGTACTTGTAACATACCTCCGATATCAGTGTAGGTCTCCTGAGGAGCTTTTTCAAGTTTCATCACTGTAACCATAGGATCTGTATCATCTCCTAAAACGCCAACAACAGCATGAACTTTATGATTTAACAGCACAGAGCAACCAGGTTCCAATTGATCCTTATCCACAAATGACAAAATGGATACGTAATGCTCGGAGCCAACCGAGGTAGACACTATCGCATGATTGTCATCGATTATTTCTTCCAATGTTCCAACGGACATTGGTGTACCACGAAGATCGTCCACTTTCGATCTCTCTTCCTCATTCTTCTCCTCCTGCGGTTTCAGGCGCTCCTGATTCCTAATAAACTCCTCCTCCATCAGTAGATAATCCTTTATGCGCTCCATTTTTAATAATTTCAATCTACAACGCGTGTGAGGAGTCACTTGTGGCAATTTCAGAGCTGCATCTGGCCCCTTAGTACGCCTCTTTTTTTTACCCACTCTCGTGGGAATCGGCGGTTCGTACTTCTTCTTCTTGTCCTTGTCATCCTTTTTGTCTCCTCCACTGCCACCAGTCCCAGATTGATTCTGACCCTATGTGACAATTTATTATTATCAAAGAATTTCACTGATAAATTAAAAGCTGTATCAAAAGAAATATCGTTTGAGAAAAATCAAATTCTTTTTGATAAAATGAATTTGAAAAATGAATTTAAAAGATAGAACAAACATTTGAAGGATGGTTAACCTAAATCTAAACGATCGATAAGTAGAATAGATCCTAGACAATTAGCAACAATACGCAAATGTTTTTTATTCTCCTGAATAGCCACTTCATGTTTTATATTAAATAATAATCAATTGACAGTTTTGACAGACTCACCATCCTCCCTTACGACGCTCAATCTGACTTGTCTGTGCTTGCTGCTCTTCGAAACGGCGGAGTCATTCGCTAGCGATTCGATTGTACACAGTCGATAAGAAAAGATCGCATCTGTTCTCCCGCTGTGTTAAGTTACGGATAAAGAAAACATCTTTCAAATTTATTTTAATATAATAAGTTTCTCCGAATTGTATAGAAAGATCTTATCTATTAGCTGAATAGAATTAACGATATGAAATGTACTCAATTTATACGAGAAAATGACTGGATCACTTTGAGAAATTCGAGAAATATTCACATTATACTCTTTTTCATTTTCGAATCATAATCGAAGATGTCTGGTGCGAGTGAATAATTTTATATTAAAGAAGTGTTTATAAAATTTTTGGAGCAATTTATATTTTTTCTGGTACTTTGCACGTGCGCGCGCACGCACGTACGCACACACACGCACGCGCACGCACGCACGCACGCACACACACACACACACACACACACACACACACACACAATTATATTTATTAGCTGAACAGAATTAAAGATAAAAGTAAAACCCAATTTACAGACACGAGAAACGATTGTGTCACTCCGGAAAGTCTGCGACAATTATTCGTAACTCTTCTTCTCTCATTTTTAAAGTCATAATAATTAAAAGACGACTAGAGTGAGTCATGATAAAAAATTTAAGAAAATAAAATACAAAAAAATTCTTAAAAACTTATTCGGTCATTCATATGATTGTAAGTAATTATTATTAAATATTAACGATTATGATCTAACAGCCAACAGTACTGATAGAAAATGAAACGAAATTCGATGTTTAATTAGCGTGCTTTATATGCATTTCCTCGTTAATATACAGTATCGAATGATATACAATATATTTTACAATGAGACTAAAAGCATTCGCATATCTTCACGCATGTTTGTATCTTCAAGCTGTGTTTGATCTGACAATGCAAACATAATGATGGAACGTTGTTTGCGAGATAACACTCGTCGATTTCGCCGTTATAAATAACAGCGCAAATGGATTCGTATCAAATACTCGAACGGCAACTCAAAACGTTCGTCGCAAGACTTGGCAGTGTACTTTACTTTTACAAATTAACGCGTGATTTAAACGGCTCTTCCATTCTATCCCTCTTACATACATATTCTATCATAAAAACATATCTTATTCACATTGATTACGTTTACATGGCTCGATTTACGCCAAAGTTATAACATCGATGTTATCAAACTGGCCAGTCATAGCTATTCCTCTGAAGAATGAAATGTGATTGGCCAATTTCATAATATCGATGTTACAATCTTGGCGTAAATCGAGTCGTGTAAACGTAGACAGTTGATTTCTTTTTTATTTAACAATTTTTGATTTATAAAATTACGAATGAGCCATTTTCCTTCAAGTGCAAATTCCTCACGTTTAATATATCCCCCCCCCTCTCCCCGAGATATTTGATATATAACGTACAAGTGCCAACAGTAATATCACGTATTTAAATATTTATCAAATCACGTTACTTATCCTACGGCCGCAATGTGATGCACAATTCAACAACGCTAAAGAGACTTGTATTGGTGAGAGATTTTATTTTAGCTTATGGGTCTATACATCTAGAGTACTTAGAATAAGTACCTTCTAGCCTTTTCTCGGCTCCAACTTCTCTGTGCTCTGCCTTTCGACATCGATCGACATCAATGTGGCGACAAAAACATGAAAGCTCGCAAGAATGCGATTATCGGTTCGATATTTATTCGGGTTGCCGAATAATATGTGGAGAAATTCCAAAAATAAAAATTACGTCATTCAGCGATACAGACTGTAACGTGCGAAGTTCACCTTACAATACTCATTGCAAGAATTCAGAATAGATAGAATTAA